CCTCTTACTGGATTAAACTAATCAGGCGCGAGCAGGGAATGTATAGACTGCTTATCTGGAGCAAAAACATTGGGCTCTCTTTCCTTTGAACAGACCCTACAGAAATGTTTGTTAATTTTATTTATTACAGGTCTTGTCGACGTGGCGATCTTCCATGAAATCATTAAAAAACGGCTCTCCGACTTACTGAAAGAACGCACTGTTTACATGCCAAGAAGATAGCGGAGCCTTTGATGTTAAACACCACCCCCCCCCACACTCACTTATTGTTGGTGTCCTCTTTATAATTTTTTTTTGTTTTGTTTTTTTTTTTTCTTTCCCAACCGCAGCGGATCGTTTGGAGCAAGATCCTCGACCGAACAAAGACCCCGGAGTGTGAGTGTAATTTCCGGGGTGGTTTGGGAAGCCGATGACGGAGGCAGATGAGCTGGTGGCAGCCCTTGGAAGGATTTCCGGGTGATAACAGGAATTTCCACACCTATAATTACGCCCGAACCGGCTCCTACTTCTGGAGGAGATTTTCGTACTTTTTGATAATTGGATCCCACTTTGGTGATCAGAAAGGAATTTACCGGATCAGAAATTCAGTTTGTTAGCCCCCCTCCCTCCCCAATTTGGCAGAAAACTTATTTGGAGGGCTGGATTAATAGCTGTAATGTCAACATCTGGGCCTGTTAGGGATTGGGATGCTCAGCTCATCCTTTCACAAGACCACCTGGCGGTGAAAAGTGAAAAAAGGCGTGACCTCCCTCACCCCCCCCCGCCCCCCGCCGCGGTTCACCTCAGTTACCGCAGAAATGCCTGTGTTTGTACAGCGCAGACTGTCGACTGGGCAAAGGCCGGGCCAAGAGAAGGAGCCGGACTTCCTGAGCCCGCTGTCATCCAGAACCTCTCAGGGCCGCGGCCCTGGGGCCAGGAATGAATTTCAAGAAGGGGCTCAAACTGGGGGGGGGGGTCAAACTGGGGGGCTCAAACTGCCTGCGTGTCTGATTAGTAGCACAGAATAAATAATTTCGGGAGGGTCAGTACCACCAATTTTGAAACACCGGAGAGCATCTGGGGGGGGGGGGGACACACCAACATAAGTGTTACCTTAGACCAATTTATTTAATTTGTAATTTATATATAAATAAATGTTCGCCTATTAGTATGACAGTGCTTAGCCAGGGCACATGCAGACTGGTTTTGTGTGAATAAATCACAGGCAGCCGATCGATCATGCTGGGCATATCGCTACCACAGCATCAGCCCGGCACACTGACACTGGACGTGGAGTGGGGGGGGGGGGCAACGGTTCTGCGTCCTGTGACTGAAGGACCAGACATTAACATTTCAGTGATGTTTGTTTTTTCTGGCTGTGACCCCATCCTGTCACTGCCTAGTCGCCCATCTGTAATTGTAACCCCCTCGCCCCCCACATCCCCCCATACTTAAACTGGTATTTTCATTGACGCAAATCCACACGCACCCATTTATGCTTCCCGATGCTTGCGAATAGAAAACCCACTCGTCCGTGTGTGATTACGCCTCCGACCGTAACCCCGCTCCTGTCTAGTCCGCGGCCTGCGTAAGCCGTCTGTCCTGTCAGCAAGATAAAATTACATCCTCGGCCGCGCTTTCAAAAACGTAAACAAGGAGCGTTTGCAAACAACGGTGAAGTGGGTAATTAGCCAGCTAACACGCAGGAGCGGCTGACGGGCGTCGCTCCGCGGCCAAAAGGACGAGTGTGCGTGCGTGTCTCCCTCAGTCACTGCCACGTGGCCCCCTTTCCTGCCAGACAGGGACGCCAGACGCGTCGCGGGGTAGGCTGAGGTGGAGGACGCTCCACGACGAAGTGTCACGGAAGCTTCCGGATACACCTGCTTTGCTCTCGAAAATGTCGTGGGCCAAAAAAAAAAAAAACGACATTTCACACCCAGCATTTTATCACTGCTCCATGTCCAATGGACTCTGTTGTGATCCGGCTTTGTAGTGACCTTTAAAGGCTCAGGTTTTGTGTCCGGTGATGAAAATAGCTGGACAGATTTTCAAAGAGACTGCTGCTGTTGGAGTCACTCTCCTCTCCCCCCAGGCTCTTTTGACATTGATTTTTCTTTTTCAAGTAAGAGTATTCCGCTGAAAAAAAAAAAAAAACCTTTCTTTTCCGGGAATGTTGTGATAGGTGGATTTATGGATGTGTTACACATAGATTAACACAGAGTTACTTTTTTTTTTGCCCGTCCACATGTTTTGAAAATGCGCGCTAATGCTAATTAACAACGGAGCGGTGCCGGCGAGTTCATCTTAAACCTGAACCGAATCCTGGTGTGTTCACTCCTCGTGGAAGACAGACGGGTCAGGGAGAGGCTTGTCGGAGCTCTGTGAGATGCTTTGATTTCGGCCGGGAGTTGGCCTCCCGGTACGTGTTGTTACTCGCGAAGGTGCCCCGGGGGCCACTATCATTCAGGACGTTTTATTACTTAAACCCCAGGCTGGGAGATCAAAAGCACTGGGGGTAAAGGCAGAAAGTCGTTAATCAGCCGGGCAGAACCTCGTCTAATCCGCGGGGACAAAAGGAAAGGGATATTGTGTAGTTTTGATTCCCCGTTTCATTGTTCTAGCGAAAGCCTACAGTGATATTTTATTTGTTGATCTGAAAGGATTAGGGTTACCGTCCTTAGGTCGTATTTACCAAAGGAATGAGGCAGGCAGCAGCAGGCCCCGCGTCTTTGCAGGAGGCTGATTAAAGCATTAACTGCTCGCTTGTCCCCTATCCGTTTACAGTGGTATATAAGCACTGACTTGAAGGGCTGGCTGGCGGGGCCCCCGGTACAAGGTGACAGCCACAAAGCTGTAGGAAGACCCAACAAGAATGGAAGATCCCAGCCTGAAATGATGGCGGAGAATACCGGAAATGCTGGGAAGACGAGGTCAATGGCAGACTGCGGCGTGGACATCGGCGAAGGCGTTTCGAGATTCCGGAGTCTTTATGTACCTCGTGTACGCCGCTGTGGAGGAATTCTGAGTCACGCCATCCAGTCAGTGACGTGTCACACGCATGTAACAGGATTAGACGGCACAAGACAAAACAAAGACGTGCAAAACATCAAAGCAGACATATGACTAGGAAGTGCGGAGGTACAAATTTATGGAATAAAGACGAAATAAATGGATGAAACGGGCAGAACAAAAATATGAGTATAAATATGTGAAATAGATATAAAACAAATGAATGAAATGGCTGAAATAGGCAATTTGGTGGAATAAAAAATGTCACTCTGTCGCAGGCAGAGGCGGACAGCAGTCATGCTGGGGGTGTGTGTGTGTGTGTGGGGGGGGGGGGACTACCGTCTAACCAATGGAAGTTCCGGTTTTTCAGGTGAAACAAAACGGTGAATTGCAAAGCCTTTATGAGTCCGCTATCCATCAGCGGCTCATACCCACAGTTTGCAGTTCGTCTCTTTGAGTGAGGTGTGTGTTTGTCAGACGGTCCCTGGGCCTCACACCCGTTCACACGCCCCCCCCTCATTTCACCTCTGCATGTGGGGTTAGGGGACTTAATCAGGGACTCATCGGTGATCTGATTATCTGATAGATAGATAGATAGATAGATAGATAGATAGATAGATAGATAGATAGATAGATAGATAGATAGATAGATACTCTATTAATTGCAGGTTACTTTTGCTAGTCTTAGAATTTGAACCTATGACCACCTGGCAAAGATCCTCACTGAGTTAAATCAAAATGCCTAAGATCCCTGACCCTGTGCTCTGCACCCCCCCCCCACCTACTTCAGTTCTGTTTCACAGAGAGGGATGAGGGATGACGGCCTGGCCTTCGTATGCCCTGGTCACCCGATCGGCGACAGTCAGAATCACGGCAGCACAGAGTGAACATTGCTGGTGTGTAAACGTCAGGCTGCATCACCCCCAATACGCATGTCTCTGTCGGCTGCCGGACCCACGCCGCTGAGATTCGATTAAAGCGCCGGGGAATACACCTGACGCAGATACGGGCAGGCGGGGAGACACCTGCACCCCCTTCGCATGTGTGTACACAGCCGGATTAATCTTTTCACATGACCCCAGCGCAGCACAGCGCAGCACAGCGCAGCACAGCGCCTCCCAGGGGCACCGTGTGACATGACACCTGGCTCTCTCTGCCAGCACCTTAAGTCATTAGCGGTCACATTGGGAAAAACACTCTGAACTGTCGGTGTCTTTCTTTGGGAGGTTTACATGGGGTCCAAACTAGCTAATCATGAGTCTTTCCATCCATGGCGGCTACATGGGCATTTATAGGACCAGTGATGACTAGACAAGGGGTTCGGCGAGAGTGTTTCAGAGGCATGAGAGCTCCTGAAAGGTAAATCACAGTCAGCGCTCCTTTCTAAGCAACGTCTGCATTACACAGCATTACTAGTATTACTGGTTTCACTGGTCAGCCACAGGAAAGGATGCAGCCGATCGTCTCGTCTGTGTGGCTACGAGACCGACGGCCTTGCTTGTGCTTCTAGCATCACATGCTTCTAGCATGTGACAGTCAAAGACTTCCTACACTCAAGCAAACTCTTTTCAGGGCAGAGACCGAGATGCCACCTCCCTAACCTCCCCCCCGCAGGTTTGATCTGACCAGCCGTCCAGAGCAGAGATTCTTAGCGGAGAAATTAACAAGGAACGGGACCACCAAGCTGCGCCTATTTAATGAGGCATTAACATTCATTATACTTAAATAAGCCAGAGCAATTACAGGCAAAAGTACAGGAAACAGACCCAGTTTACACTGCTCTAAATTTGATGCGCATCTAGGCTGATAAGTTCTTTTGTCCGTGTTTATGAGCCGTGTCTGAACACACGTCGGGCTGGGCTCGGGGCTGCGTTAGCGAACGGTGTAAAAAATCCACCGCCTGACTCACTTCAGCTCTTCACATTAAATAATTATGCCTTGCAGATGACTCATTTTATATATATATATGCAGTCTGGGTGTAGCGGCAGCTAATTTTAAAGAAAGAGGAGGAACTCGAACAGGGAACGGCGCTCTGAACACTGGGAGAGCGGCGACGGTGAAACCCGGAGACGTGGGACGCATTGGGCTCGGGCAGCGCTGCCGTGTGACGCAGGAGAAAGTGCAGGGCACGCCAATTACGGGGCTTAGGGGTAAGTGGCAGTCTGGAAGTGTGAAGGGCTTTAATCTGCAGGGGAGCGTAACCCAAAATGGGGCAACTATGCCCGTCTGGTCTTGGCGCAGACGGGAGGCCGTCTCATCCAGGATGCCATGGGCCGTGGGACATGTGCCAGGTGGGCAGTGACAGTATTTAACAGCACTCAAACTACACATCTGTATGGGGCCCCAAGGTTTGGGGGGCCCCCTGTTGGCTACAAACCGCCACTACATGTGATATAAAATAAACACATTCCTTATTTCTGAGATGCCTGCTCCAGCTAGCTACAATGTTCTGACTCTACTCACTAGTTATTCCTGATGTGACTTTTTGAGTGGGCCCCCAGAAACAACAAATGCAGCCCTGCATTTGGGGGTAAAATGCTTCCCCCAGGTGGGGGGGGAATATTGATCTTGAGAGGTAGAGTATCTGCTAGCCATGCAAAGTGGGTGCAATATATATATGACAATGAGTATCCGCCTGTTTATTTTCATACAACAGAGCCAATCTGTGTGTCCTCGCATGCAGACACGCCTGCACGAGAAAGACGTCAGAGCACCCAGCGTGAGACACCAAGGTAGGACGAACCCTCCCAAGCGTTGCTAACGAAAACAACAGGTTTAATGAGATGGGTCTCACCGCCAGCCCCATTACATCGAGAAACAAGTTATAATCCCGCCCACATCGAGTAATGCACAAAAATCAAAGAACAGGGAGGTGCGGATCGGGCCCCAAACACGCACAGGCAAGCTCTGTGGCCTCCGTGTACCCTTTCCAACAAACCTCCATGAAGCTAAACTGCACCCAATGAAATGCTATCAGTTGCTGGCATACAGTACATGAGCACATATTTACTGGGACACTCTCCTGTGGGCTCGAAACGCATCTTTCCGTTCAACCACTTGCCGTTCAGGTGGAAGTGAGCAACACGTGTCAGCCCCCTGCTGTCTGCTAGCTTTTAAACTGCTTCATTACATCGTCTAGCATGAATTTTGCACTAAGAGGGTGTGCATGAATAATGAAGGTAGAGTAGCGTTAAGCAAACAGAGCTAATCTCTCCGGGAGCTCGTCGGCTTTCGTGACATTGCTAATCGGTAACTTCCTGCGACTCTCATCTCTGACATCATGCCACGAGACACGGTATGACGACAGGGGCTGCTTGCCGCTCATATTTCACTTTGATGCCGTGTTTGTGTCGTGTGTGTTAGCATTAGCATGGGACTGCGATGCCCGGTCCACCGCTGACTGACACCGACACACCAACGGCAAAAGGGAACGAGGAGACTATCTCCTCTACGACCATGTGGGACTTGTTGGAATGTGCCAAAGAAGATGGAGAAGGCTGTGGAATAGGGTTGGGAGGTTAAGGCGAGCCTTTGTTGTCCCAGAATGACATCCTATTTACCTGTCGGGCTCTCCTTTCTTCTCCGCGCGACCGTGACCCGACTGTGGCAAGCCAGGCCTTTGTCTCCATGGCAGATGTCTGCCTTACGGATACACTTGCTTGCTTCTCAATGTCCGCCGGCCTCAGGGCGTGAGAGACTCGTCTACAGGGAGGATCAGGTTCCACCAGCAAATATGTGCCAAGGCACGTGTGTATAGTCTGGCTCTGCTGAAGCATCTAGATTGCTGCACCATTTCACTTAAGTTGTATTTACATTTCTGAGACTGGCATGACTGTCGGGGATCGAGTGCATCTCCCAGTTACGCAACCAATGTTGTTATTGCTATTGAAATGCAAAAACTGAGGATTTCTCAGGATTGATCCGCCCAATAGTATTGAAGGTTTCTTATCAAGGGTCTTTTGTTAACAAAGTGAAAAAACAACTGACCACACTAAGAATGAGGTTTCAGTACAAAGACCTGGCTTCCCTCTCTACGGCTATGTTACGGTTATGTTGTTTTGATGAATGCCGTGGGCGGAGTTCTCTGTTTTCTTATTGTTTTTGTTCACGGGGCACGGCGCTAATGGCAGGGTGGCGTCCTTCTCAGTCTCCGACCTCCTTTCCCCCAGCGGTAGTTGGCCCACGGCATCAAACACACAGTTGCCACTTGACTTTGACATTCTCACAAGGAGCCAAGTTCTCCACAAGTCTTGCCAGGCCAAAGTGCCGGTCGGCAGGCAGACGGCAGGGCTGAGCTCTTAATTCCCTTAAGGTCGCACCTACGGGGATGTTCGATACCCAGGAACGTAGGTGGCAATTTGCGCCAACGGAGCTCACCGCCAACGCCAGGGCAGAAGGAGCCGCGTCACCGGTCTGTGAACACTGCTCCCGTTTCTGCTGCAGCCTGGATCAATTTACGCACCACTGACAGCTTTTTTGTCAGCACAGGGCGTTTGTTTGGACCTGCCTTATCTGGTGTAACTGGTATGACCACAAAAACGCCCTCTTCTGACAGCCCAGCAGCAGAGGACCACCTCAATCTCCATCCCTAAAAGAAGGCCCATCCTGAGGGGGCAGAAGGGGAAGGACGGGTGAATCTGTCCCTCTAGCCATGACAACACCCCCTGAATCCATGTCAATCATAAAGGAAACACCTTTTATCACCTAAAAATGAAGTGAGTTCTGGAATGCAGGGGTGATTATAGGATTTTTTTTAAGGTGGGGGGCATAAGAGGGGTCATAATTCATTATTAATTATCATTAGCCAATGATGTGCTTTGAAACAGTGAGTGACAGGGGAAGGGGCACTCCAGGGGCCAGTCAGCTTTCAGCTGGGGCCAGTGGCCTTGTGGCCCCGCCCTTGTATACACTTCTGGTGGAATGGCCCTGTTGTGAGGAGAAGGTCTCTCCATGCAAATCTAGGGAAAGCCAGACCATGGATTACGGTGTTAGTCATGCTGTTTTTCGACTTCAACCTCTATAATTAAAGCTATTCATTATGAGGGAGAGATGCAGGCCTTGGGAAGCTTTCCCGCCTCCGGCAGGAAAACATGGACAGGCACAGGGGGAACACTGGGCCTATGCTCAGCCAACGGTGCTCAGTCTCAGGCACATGAACCATATCTCCAAAGCTCCTTCACCCCCCTAATGACTCCAAGCGAACGCAAGCTGCTCACCTTGCTAACCCCTCCATAAATCTCCCGGCTGAGGTCCCGTTAACCTGAAGCACTTCCTATCCACCTCTGTACTCACCAGAGGCCATTGTCTACCCCGGAAGAAGGTGCCATTTCAACCCTTTGTTAGGGGACTCACAGCAAAGCGGTCTGCACTCTGCGATTACTGGCAACATCCCCAAACATTGCTCCAGCGTCAGAACTTCAATATCTCATCTATTTTTGGCCCCGGAGATTATTTCAGAAGGCCAAGACTAATCGAGTTGCTCTCTACGTCGCCTCTCCTGCTAGCCTGAAAGCTACTCGAGCCGAGGGCAACAGGTCACAATGGTCCAGCGCGGAGCACCGGAGAACTTCAAGGTCCATAGATTTTGATTTGGAACTCGATTAGGGTCCACTTTTTGAAGCCAGAGTCTGGGTAGATTTGTCTTTCCTAAAGCCTTCCGGGGCCATTCCCAGAATGTGGATTTGAAGTGGAGTGGGGGGGAAGACAGCATAATCCAGCGAAAAAATGAAGATTAATATTAATATCAAATCAGGGAGACGGCAGGAGGGGCAACGTTGCGCGAAATGCCCAATCTCTTAGCACAAGGCCCGCTGTGGCGCCATATTAATATCGACTGACCTCTCCGACTCGAGCGTTGGGCTTTCCCTGGCAGCATGAATTATAGAGGAACCAGGGGGGTCAAGCAGTCTCCAAGCATGGCTTCCTTTGTCCGATGAAGCAATCAGGTTCCCTCACCTACGTTCCTCCTAATTCTGGCCAGATAAAGCAAAGGTCAACACGGTTATTTATTGATATGATATGTGAGGGTGCCCCCCCCCCCACAATCCATGCGTCATGTGGCAAAACCCCATTGGCTAATTGATTTTTGATGAAATCCATGAATTCATTCCTGCATGTGCACAGTGGCCATGGCTTGTAAATGTATCTGAAATGCTCCTGGAGATCTGCAGTGTTCAGCTTTGCAAAAGTGCAGCTCATTCTTAAGCAACCGTCTCCTCAGGTGCGAATCCATCGGTATGCGTCTTTTTGCATCCCCAAGTTTTTCCCTCCTTTCACTAAATCGTATGATGCGACAAGATCACCGTGTCTCTGAAGATGATCGGAGACATATACGTCCCTCCGGCAATGCGTCATTCATGAAAAAAATTAAAACTTGAGCACTAGTTGTATCAGGAAGCATACATTTGAAATCTGAGAAGGAACCTTCTGGAGAAACATCTTGACTGGTTTCTGAATGTGCAGATAAGGTCTGCATGTTCTCGGTGAGCTTCTTATGGTACAGCGTGGCTCCATGGAGCACTGAATAGCATTAAATGACCGATTCGCAGTCTTGGAGAGAAATTCATGAAGATACATTTTATCCACCCACTCTTTTTCAGAACAAGAACAACACATTGATAAAATACTTTTTAGATACATTTATGCTGATGAAAATGGTAGTGCTATTTCATCAGCAACACTCATTTCACGGTAAAAAAGGTCTCATTAAATGTATTGTATGCACAGGAAAAGGGGAGGGTGTGTGTTTTGGATTAATGAAAACATTATTTCAAGGAACCTTAATCCACCTGCAAAGCAGGCATCCGAGTTATTGATTACAGTTAACTGCCTCAATCAGATCGGTGTGAGACTCAGCAGCAAATTAAGTTGGATATTCCCCTGAATTGTTAAAAATAATAGAATCCACGCTACTTGTGTGCGCGCCAATTTTTGGATATGGGCATTCAGACGGAACAGGTGTGATTAAGCTTTGGCTAGCTTTCATCCATTTGGTAATTATGTGGTCAGCCGTGAACGGACGGGAGAGCAAGGAAGCAAAGTGGTGCACGAGTGTTTAATGATCTCTCATTAAGTGGATCACTCTGGGAGCGTTTATCGATGCCTGGGGGCCAGATGACTAAATTAACAGCCAAACGAGAGTCATCAAAAAGTCAGCTTTAATTGTACATCTGATTTCCGGGCCTATCCATTACACCCCCTGGGTTCGCGAGAAATTTACTCACAGGTTATGAGACGTGAAGAAGACGCGGCATCATTAATACGGCGGCGAAGCCACGCGGCCGGCTGGAGGCCCCTCGATGTTATGCTCAAGGTGGCCTTCGGGTGCCACTTCTCATAAACATTTTTGTAGTCACTGCCTACTTCTTGAAGGGATGTGGGCCATTTTCCATCCATTCGTCCGTCCTTAAATCCATCCATCCATCTGCTCTGAGGAAAGCAGTGACCCAATGCTGTCTCCTTGAAGGCAGACCCCTCCCTGAACAGCACTCCTATGGTCACACAGTCACACTAAGAGCCAAAAAGACAGCTTGAAGTGTGTATTGTGGTGAGATAGTTAATCGACTGTGACCTGCTTTCCAAACTGCGTATAATTTCCCTGGAAGTCTGTTGTAATCGTTTGATTTGATGAATGCGGCTGCTTTTTGAACACTGGAGAAATTAAATATATCAAACAAAGCCAGCGAACAGGGCCCCTTTCTCTGCCGCTTCCTCCCGGTGAAATGACTCAGTCTTTCATCGGAGAATGGAGCCACACAGCGTGTTCTTCGCGACTCTCCTCTCGAGGGCTGGCGAAACCGCGGACAGATTACGTGCGGATTGCCGTTCAGCACGCGCTAATCCTGCTTTTTAAAACAAGACACTCCGGCTCTGCCTCCCGCTTTGCTCGACGGTCTCACATAAACCATTATATTCGCAAGAAATGCAGCTCAAACATGTTCACGCGGCGATAAAAGAGAAACAAAGCGCGCTGTTCGTGTATGAGCAGAAATAAAAATAGGTGCTTTATGCGTGTAAATAGTTGTTTTTTAAGTGTTAACACAGGTGAAAGGGAACTCTTTTCATCCCACTGGAGTTTTCTCTTTGACACCCAGGGAATGATGGATAGCAGAAAAAAAGAAGATGCAGACCGCATGGATCCTTTCTAAGATGTTTCTATCTTTGTTTTTTTGTCTCCTTTGCAGACGGAGTCGGGTGTGGAAGATTGATTTTTTTTGTCTTCTTGCGAAATTGCTTACCGTTTGAAAGCGTCACCCAGACAAGACATACCCCCCCCCTCCAACCCACACCCCGCGCCTTTTTCTGAAACAGTAAACAGGGACACAAGGACACAGAGTGTGAAGGAGAGGCAAGAGGTTGTTGGCCCTGTGGGAGGATTTGCCGTCAAAAATATTTAGCAGTCAGGAATGAATCGGAACAGATAATGGATGTTTTGGAATCTGCACACCCTATGGAGTGCGTTCTCCCCTTTATCTGATGCAACCTTGGGTAGCTTGGCTTTATCAGTGCTGGGCCTGCTTGCCTTAGTGCTGCCACGGCGCACGCGCACACTCACGCACACGCGCTGCCGGAACTGTTTGGCTGCAGTGCCCACTAGTGGCCGAAGCGGGAAACTGCAACCCTCCCCCACCCCCAAAGCAGCCAGCAGAGCAGCTCCGATGCCCTGGGCGAGCAGCTCTGACATTCCTGATGTTTTCCCAGTGATTCGCGGGAGCTGGCTTTGCTGAGGGAAGCAGGGGGTGGCGGACGCACCGAGAAGAAGGGAAAGGAAGCATCAGGAGGGAGAGAAAGGCGCGGCACGACCGGGGCAGATGAACGCTGCCAGCAGGGCGGCGGTATACGACGTGGTGCTCACCCAGGAACGGGCCGGGGGAAGGGGGGATGCTGGCATTTAAAGACTCAGCAGGGTCTGTGAGGGTGGAGCTGGAATATCCGTCTGTATAAATCGGCAAGAGCGGGCGGCTTTGATGTGAGAGCTTCTGCTAAGCGCCTAAATAGTGCATTGTAATGAAGCGCCATGAGAAATCGCGGGCTTTAATCGGGCCGATGGATCAGCCCCTTATCCCAGGAGCGATCTCGCGTACGGAACTGGCAGCGGAGGGGAGAGACGGGGAGTGAGCTGAATCAGGAAGCGTGGGAAAGGCATCATCAGCCCCCCCCACCTCCGAAGTCTGCCTGCCAGTCACAGTCCGCCGTGACCAAAGCCACTACCCAGCATTCCCCAGGCATCTGGCAAGTGCCCACTTCTTTTGTCCACCCTCAGCTCAGGTGTAGGTCGTCCCCCCCCCCCACAGCTGCCCCGAGAGGGAAGCTGGGGCTAGTATCTTGAACATGTGGGAGTATCATGATGACACGTTTCCATCACCGTGGTAACAACCACTCTGTAACGCGGCCCAACATTATTGAGCCTCCTCTGTCGACTGTCACATTCTTCAAAGTGTCTGGAAGCGAACACATCCAACCACATGTGCCAGACAAAAGGTTGGGGGTTTGAAACCAAATGGGCAGAACCAGGGCATGGTCTAAACCCACTTGAAGGAGTACGCCACTGACTCTGATACTGATGTGGTACGAGAGACTCAAAATGAATGAATTACCAGGTATTCAAACCCCTGTATATCAGCGGTTGCTCTGTGAGTTGCGATGCTATGGTTGTGGTCAGAAGGTCGCTAGTTCAAATCCCATGGTTGGCAAAGTGGTTTTACCATTGGGCACTTCAGGAAGACCCTTAAGCCCCATTTACTTTGGGGACGGCTTGGCCCCACTTTCTCAGTTATATGTCACTCTGGGTAAAAGCGCTTGGTAAATAAATTAACATTTCCTACGTGTAGGGGCTGACGTCGGTCTGTACGTGGGTGTCTGGCATGGTGATGGCCCGGAGTTCCAGTAACACGTGCCATTAAACATTTAAATTAAGTTACCTGGAATTGCCAAGTCTTGCAGCAGAAAGAAACAAACAACTTTGGTTTATCACTCCGCATTGTTTTGCGTGATGTGCGTTTCAATTATTTCAATTAGTTGCGTCAGTGTCTCGCAGACTCGGGACTGCGGCGTGGCGACTTTTCCTGTGCTAATGCACTGACACATTCTGCCAGTATCCAAGGCGTGCTCAGTGGGCTAAACTAAAAAAGTATTAGGACAGATAACGCTAAAATACATACACCCCTTCATTTGTAATACACAACAATCCATTATTTCCTTCGATTTGTATCCAGTTCCTCATAGCACCTTCCTTCTGGTGCATCCCGCCTGTTGTCATGCATATTTTCTTGTATGTAATATTTTCTACTCCTTGGTGAGGCCTTGCGTGGTCACATGATTAAAAGTTGCCGTGTCATGCTGTGCCGTGTCATGCTGCGCTCGGTTTGCCTTTTCTCTTTCCTTTTCCATTTCCCACTGAAACCTGAATCTGTTATTTTATCTTTGACCTTCTGTTGCCTCATATCCAGGTCTTTGCTCTCTTTGGAAATAAAGCTCGTGTCAGACATCAAACTTTCAGAAGCGGTTTATTTCAGCAGCTCAGTCGAACTTTTTCCAGGTATGACCTGTATCTCGATATTGCCGTCAGTGTAAAGTCACTTTCGATCCTCCCCTTCCTCTTACTGCACTGCTCCAAATGGACTTTAAGGACCCCAGATGATCAGTAATCTGTGTTTAATTATCTATGCCGCAAGCCGCTTGTCCTCCTTTCCGTAAAGGATCGATCACTCCAGGTGATCCTTGAACATTAATAAAACAGGTTATCACGTGGGAGCCAGACGGAGCGAATCATGAGCCAAACAAACACGTTTCATGATAATCCAGCTGAGTCAACAAAACAGGACAAATAAACAACTGTTTGTGCTTTACCTGTATGTATGTAATAATACTGTATTCCTCTAATAACATTGTGACCTCATACCCCCGGGGATGGGGGGGTTACGCTTACCCCTTACTCTACCTAATTACTCTATGTGTAATTAGGCTCCTCGTTGTCTCTACCAGTGCTGGAAAAAAGTTCACACCTGCTTAATTCTGTAACAAATTCGTAGCAAATTTGTTGGTTTCACACCAAAAGTCCATTGACAAGCAATGTTTAACGTTTCTGCACAGACCATCAGTTCTGTTCTTGCCATCTTGCTATTAATTTCAGTCGTAGTCATGGGCTCCCAAAGAGAAACTAAACACTGATTTTGGGCATTTGATGTTTTTGCAGTAAGTCAATGAACTTTTTAACTCAAAACAGCTTTTAGAACTATAATTTGGGTTCCAATTTATTATTACTTGAAGTGAATATTGTACTTAAAACTACTGCTTTTTTCTAATGTGATATATATATTTTTTAAAACAAAACAGTAAAGTAATGACTTTGTTATAAAAACGATAAATGTGCAATAGTTCTACTGAATTAAGTAAAGCGTCCCAAGACTTTCTGTGAGCACTGTAAGTCCCCTGTATGGGGGGGCAGGTGGCCTTGACTGAATTAAGGGGCTAGAATTTGGATGCATGTCGATTATTACATATTTATAATTAAATCAAATAATTCTGCACTGTCAACCTCCACTTCAGGGAAGGAGTGATCAAGAGTTTGGGTGTAATTACTCCGACGGGTCACGAGTGGATGTGACCCTTAGGGGATGTGAACCATCTCTTAAGCTTAAGATAATAAACACTATGACCGTGAGGTTACAGCTCATGTAGCCTCAACAGGTACCAGGAACAAGGGATAATCCAAAGAGATGTGCAACGAACGGACGGCTAACAGCCTGCGTGGTTCTGCATCCCTCCAAAGTCCGATCATGCTCCCACTCCTCAGGATCCTAATCTGGCACCTCAGCGCGGGAACGTGCGTGGTGACAGCGAGGTGGCGCGCACACACACGCACGTGTGTGTCTGCGAGAATCACCCCGTGGCATTGTTCCCAAATCATTGTAATGTGAATCCGGAGTGACAACTGGATCTGCTGCTGGTATCCGGCATTCATGAAGCATCAAGAAAACCTTTAGATCGGGAGAAGCAGAGAGGCTTAGGATTGCGTGCCTCACCCCCTCATTTATGCGGCTCTGAGGCGTTAAGCAGAGGATTGTGGGAGCGATTGTTCGAGCGTCGCCGAAGTGAACCGCTCGTGGGTGGAAGAGTTTTATTTCCCGGCAAAATCCTTCCTCTTCTTAACATATTTGTTTAACTGTGAATAATAACCAGAAACTTAACTCGCAGCGGTGCAGAGAATAGAATAATGCGCTTTTAAGGACACATAATATGATACATTTTATGCGGCGTATAGAGCCGCCGGAATATTTCAAAAGGGCTTTTCTTTAAGGGTCTGAAAGGAAATTAGTCCGGCCAGAAAAAAAAATGATGCAACACTGTCAAATAAGGAGGGAGACATTATGGCTGCAGAGAATAGTCAGAAATTGCCGCTGCCCCATTTCTGTGGGGCTTACGGCCGAATCTCAAATCCAAGCTCTGTCTGTCTTTGAAAATTAATTTCTCAGGAGGGAAAGACAGCAGAAGGAAAGTTGAGCAGCTGAGAGAAACATTTTCACACTGAAGCCACGGTGATTTTTTTTTTATTATTTCTAATTGCTTAGGTGATTTTTTTTTTCCAAAGTGACTTACAAATTTGCCCATTTAAACAGTGGAATATTTTTACTGCAGCAATTTGAGTGCGAAACATCACTCAAGGGTACAACAGCAGAGCCCTCCCGAAAATCCATAACCTTCGGGTTATAAGTTTGTGTTCTTAATGGCCACCTGCAGCCCCTAAACCTACATATTTAAATGGCACTGGAGGTCCTGTATTGTTTGTTACCCGTCACAGAAGATTTAGAAGGTGCCGGAAGCTTTAGCCATCCCTTTGTAAGTGAGTGAGGCCTTATACATTGCTAACATGGCTAAATGCTATGTTTTGTTAGCTGCAGCTGTCGAACTGGGCAGCTGGGGGGGCAAATCAAGTTGTATGTAAAGTGTAGCTGAGATAAACTAATTGGACAGGTGGTGGGGGGACAACGGATGGAAAGGGACGACAGTTCTGCCATGTGGAGCCTCAAGGCTGAGTTAGCTGGAATCAAATTACCGCTAATAGTGGGGAGAATCAGTTGTGAGCATGGTCGGCCTGCCGTGTGCCCTCCGTGTGCCCCCCCCCCCGACCGTCTGACCTGGACCCCAGATTGTAAATCAGAATATGGTGCAGACATTTAAAAAAATGTTGGAAACGGGGAATCAGGGTGCGTGCGCTCCGTGTAGCTAGCCGTGTGCTAATGAGACTCCTGCTAACCAGGGTCCAGCCAGCGCCCATCTACACAGCCGTGGGGAAGGAGCCGCACTGGAGGGCGCAGCTCCTCTGAAGGCTGCCCACTGCCTCACTGCCTCACTGTCGTCACCTACTGGAATCCAACGGCTATGCTGATTGGGTTAGCGTAGCATCAGCTGGGTGTGGCCAGGCACAGACCAGAGGTCACTGATTAGATAGATAGATAGATAGATAGATAGATAGATAGATAGATAGATAGATAGATAGATAGATAGATAGATAGTGTCAGGGTCAGCGCCTGTCCCCGCCCTTCATGTCACTTCCTCAGTTGACCATCCCTTTTCCCTTCCTCTGTTTTGTAGCCCCTTAGTCCCAAGTGTGGCTACTTTTTCTCTGAGCTGCTGCATGGCTTAACAGGCTAAGCGGTTGGCTACTCTTCCTGCTTTCCCTTTTGTTGTGGGTTCGAGGCTGACCAGACGCCAGCCTCAACTAGTTGGTTTCCTTTGTTTAACATTTATTTTTATGGTCTCCTGCTTAAGTGAGTATTTTCCAGTTAGTCTTGCGTTTGCTCCCTGGTCTAATTCTGTTCTTGTATTTATGTTCCTAGTGTTGTGAGCCTCTGAGTTTAATGGTCTCTAGTTTCCTGTGCTTGTTAATTGTAATGTATTCCACCTGTTTCTTGTTGTCCTGTGCCTTGCTGATTGGCAAATTAAGTTGTGGTTTTCAGCTGTCCTTTGTTTGTTGAGTTGTTGAGTTTCTGTGTGAATTTAAGTGCCTGTTCTAGTTCTGTCTGTTGATGGTTCTTTGTAGTTGTACATAGCAGCTTTCTCTTGAAGCTGCTAGTGGATTGTCATCTCTTTTCCTGCCTGCGCCATTCCACGCCATCAAAGGTAGATATGGACAGATAGATATATTCATTGATTTATTGTTGTCACTGTATGAAGACTGTAAACACAATGGTGAACTTAGACTCTCTTGTGCCAACAATCGGATTTATAAACCTTGACCTCTCATCACAGTTTCATTTAATTTTTGTTTTTTTTTTTACAGGAAAAACAAGTTGAGGCTGAGAACTGGTAACCAGTGTATGTTGTGCTGGCTCTAATTTATGACCCTGCATATGAATTTATCCTCGAGTCCCACAGGGAACTTTCAGAAATTCCCATATAATCTAATGACATTGTACCGACCCGGGTAAATGTTATATAAATTATGCATTAAGGGGGAACATAAACCACAGTAGACAAACATGACAGCCTTCACTCCTCACTCGGGGGTACAAGGCCCCAGGGACACCCCCCACCCCCCCCAGGTTTCGTAACAACACCATCCATTAGTGGCCCATTTGAAGATGTCGTTAGCATTAGCGCTCCGAAAGACGCGGGCAAAGGCCGTGAAAATGCGAGCGTGGCACAAGCTAATCCCATGAAGGGAAATCGAGGTTTTCACGGCAGTGTCCCTTTTCTCCCTATTTTGTGTGACGACCTGTTTTGCTTCATGTAAACAAGACAAACACCGACAGGGTTTATCTTCATCTCAGATTGCTGTGTTTTGGAGGGAAACTGTTTGTTCAACCAAAATCAATTCGTCATCTTTGCAGGGAAGCTCCCTACCTGTTTGTTTCATTCGTGAAAAGTTTTACACTTCCCTCATCGCACACTCGTACAAGCAAAAGATAGCATGAAAATTAAAAAATGTGCCATGACTTTGACCCCAGTTCTCTCAGTTTTGACTATGATTTCTCATAATGACCAGAATGCATTGCAGACATTTCCCTCCCAAGCCTGCCACAGAGCCAGCCCACTCTGGTCATGTGACACTGGCTAAAGGTGTTGATTGGAGGCTTTGCGTGTCTCCCTACCTCAGAATAATCCAAGTGCCTAACTGGTCCCAAGAAAGTGCTCCTGCAAGGCCAACCAAAACTCCTTGGCCTACTTAGACCACACAGATCTAGTGGAACCCCATACAGCCCATTGCTCAGACGTAACCAGTGGAGTGTTCCAGACTCAAAGATCACGGAGAACCCACAACACGACTCAGAACATAGGTCATGCTCTTAGCTACAGCCCTGATTCTTGGTTGTAATTTTATGAGATGTAACAAAAAGATTTTTCTCAGTCTGGTGAAAGGACGCCTGTCAGACAAGGAAATCAAGCAGTGTTCTCTGCTCCTCGATATACTGCTATGACTGCTCAAGAGCCTAAATCGGCT